TTCGTTGACTGGCCTAAACATTAAATAGAAAATTTTATGAGAATTAAAACTATGTTATTTTTAAGATTAATATGCAGTCAGGAAATTTCATAATTACTATTTACAGTATATTTATCAGAAAAACTCATTATTTATTATTATTATTTATTTATATTTGCATTTTTATCGTAATAGAACACTTAAATAGAATTCACAGTAATCATTTCTCAGTAACTTTTGGTATTTAAAAAGACTTTACAATTGAAATATCCAGAACTCAATTAATTTTAATGATTTACTTTAACTAAAAAAAAAAAAAGTTTTTATTTTGAATCACTCTTGTGGTTAGGTAAAGGGTTAGATTTATAAAAAAAAACTAAATGGTAGGTAAAGAAATGCATCTAAATAAAAAAAAATTATACTGATTTGGTCATTTTTGATAAAGTTATAACAATTAACGAAGTTATAAGTTTTATACACTGGCCTACAAGGAACTTTCATCAGAAACAAAAATATACTATTCTAAATTAACTTTTCGCGATGTTTTCCAATGTGCAATTAGACTTTTTCTATCACTACTAAGTTTTAATATTATTAAAAAATAGTATTTACATATAAAAAAAAATAATTAAGAACAAAAAAAATTGTTTTAAATTAATACTGATTTTGATTATTAATATTTTAAAAATAAGCAAAATGACATATTTAACCTATTTTTTTAGTCGTTTAAAGTTGATTTTCGTAAATATTTATAATAAAAAAAAGTTAAGTTGAAAAAGTTCTACTTTCTATATGCATTTTTTATATTTGAAGCCCCCCCATATATAGGGAAATAGTCTGATTTAAAAAAAAAGTATATCCAATGAAAGATGTATATAAATACTACTTCTCATGAAAAAATTGTATTGATCCATACATTTTTTAAAAAGTTATAGCACTTTAAAGTAAAAAATGTAAATTATAAAATCGAAAATTTTCACACAAAAATAGCATTCGGTAGCCGTTTTCACCATGAAGACAAGTCCAGAGGTCAAATTTTTTTTTTTCAAATTAAAGTACATTACATTAGCTTTAATTTAAGATATATATAAAAGTGTCAGACCTTCCGGAACATTTTCAAAAGTTAAGTTGAAAAAGTTAATTTTTTGCAAAAAAGGTGTCATTTTAAATCCCTCCCTGTGGGCAGAAAAAAGGTCGAATTTACAAAAAATATATACCAACTGATAAGTAAAGACATCAAGCATCTATATAAAAAAAAATTATATTGATATGTTCATTTTTGAAAAAGTTACGGCAGTTTTTAGTAAAAAAAATTGAAAAAATTTCGAAAATTAGCGATTTTTAAATTTGTAATTTTTTTGGAGGTTTCCCCCATTTACGGGGAACGAGGGAAATTTTTTCAATTTTGAAGGGTAATGTCTTCGACTAGATACGATTTGTGATCTTTTGACGTATCGTTGAAAGAAATCCGTTCGGTGAGAGCTGAGAAAAAGTGGTAACAGACACAAAAAAAAAAACACATCATAGTAAAACCAGTACCTTCTCAGCTTCGCATCGAAGCTAAAAATAATTTATATTACCGTAACTTTTAGCTCAATTGGCAAGTTTGAAATTGACATTATTAAATAGAAAATTTTATGAGAATGAAAGAATTGTACTATTAAGATTAATATGCAGTCAGAAAGTTTTATAATTACTATTTATTGTAAATTTATCAGCAAAACACAATATTTTTTTGCATTTTTATCGTAGTAGATAACTTAAAAAGAAGTAATAGTAATAATTTCCTGGTAACTTTTGGTGCATGAACAGATTCTGCAATTGAAATATTCAGAACTTAATTAATTTTAATAATTTACTTTAACTAAATGAACCAATCAAAACAAAGTTGTTAAAAAGATATACTCATTTGAGTGTATAATAAAATTTGATTATTATTGTAAAAATCCATTATTAACTCAGAAGAAACTAACAATAATTTTTTTTAGAAATGATTTATATAACATGTTAAAAAAAATTTTAGAATATTATAATCTAATAATAGCACACACAAATAGAGTAAAGTATTATGAAATTACAAAGTAAAATGATTTAATGTTGTAGTTGAAACCTATCATATGAAAATTGGTTCGTCAATAAATACTTTGAAAACATTAGAAATGAATGATTTTAATTGTTTGTATGGAGAATATGGGATAACTAACTGTTTAATTGATAAATTAGAATTTTTTTTCAATTTTTGAGGGTAATATCTTCAACCTAGATACAAACTGTAGTCATATGACATATCGTTGAAAAAAATAGGTCAAGTTAGAGCAGAGAAAATAAATGATAGTCACAAAAAAATATCTTCTCAGCTTTGCATCGAAGCGAAAAAATAAAAGATAGTAAAATAATTTTAATACGAATAAGAAATTTCTTCTCGCCAGTAGCGACTACAGTGATGGGATCCTTGATCTTTATTAAAGTTATTGAATCTAAATGAGATAAAAATCAAAGCAGTTGAAAATTTATACTAATTTAAAAAGAATTAAGAAAAAATGCAAAAAATTCATTGCTATACGCGGGTTGGAACCTCGTACCCCAAGCTTATTAAACACCAATTTTACCAACTCTGAAACCATACGTTGCTACCGTCAACTGAAAATATTGGCTATTTAAGCTAGTTCAAATTTCAAAGTTAATTTTCACGACTTAAAAAAAGCAAAAAACTTTAAATAAGTTTAACTTTCTATGCTATATCAATTTGATTTATATGATATTTATGAAAATCAGTGTACTCCCCTTGTCAGGTATTTTAAATTAAAATAAAATACAAAACCCAGAATTTTTTCACAAAAATTGCATATTTTTGCATAGGATAGTCATTTTTACCATGAAGACAAGTCCAAAGGTGAAATTTTTTTTTCTTTAAACTAAAGTATATTATGTTAGCTTTAATTTAAGGTATATATAAAAGTGTAAGTCCTTCCGGAACATTTTCAAAAGTTAAGTTGAAAAAGATAATTTTTTGTAAAAATTTTATCATTTTGAAACCTTTCCTGTGGGCTGTTAAAGGGTCAAATTTTCACAAAAATATATAAAATGATAGATAAATATCTAAGGTGTTCTAAAAAAAAATTTATATTGATTCGGTCATTTTTAAAAAAGTTATGGCAATTTTAAGTAAAAAAAATTGAAGAAATGTCGAAAATTAGCGATTTTTAAATTTGTAATTTTTTGGGGGATTTCCCCCGTTTACGGGGAACGAGGGAATTTTTTTCAATTTTTGAAGATAATGTCTTCGACTAAATACGATTTGTGATCTTTTGACATATTGTTCATTAAAATCGGTCCAGCAAAAGAGTTCACAGACATAAAAAAAATAAAAAAAAAAACACATCATAGTAAAATTAATACCTTCTCAGCTTCGCATCGAAGCTAAAACTAGTTATGTTATAAATGGAAATACTTTATTTAAAATCATAAGTTTGTGTTTCTTACTTATACGTATACATTTTAATGAGGGAGAGAACGATGTTACATGGTACTGAACAGTGCAGCGACTAATATATAGCACGTTTAATTACAAAAATGGTTGTAAATCAATAATTTATCATCCTAAAATTGTTATAGTTTTTGTAAGAAAAGTGATAAAAATTGGCAAAATATTTTGACATTTTTAAAACATTTAAATTAAAACAAAATAAAATGATATATTTTTTTAATTAAAAACAAATATTAAAAAATATGATTTTAATGTAATCTAAAATGCATAAATTATCATAATAATAGATATGAAAAATTTAAACGTAAAATGACCATAGAAGGTTTATTAATTTGATAATATTAAAGCCATATGCGGAATTAGTGACAAAATTCCATTCAAAATAAATTATAATATTTTTGGCGCAGAAAAGTTTTGATTTTTTGTTGTACAGCAATGTATAACTACTTTATTTTGGAAAACATTATTTTTTTTATTAATTCAAAGCATTTAAAAATAATGTTTATTATGCTCGTTCAATCTTGTACAATTTTTGATGTCATTAACATAGACGTAGGATAGTCAATATTTTTTTGAAAGAGCAGCTAATTTTCATCCACTACTCCAAAAAACAATTTCCTTCTAACAATTCAACTAGAAAAATAACCATTTTTTACAACTCTAGATCTATATAATATAATATCTTACATATCCACTAATGAGAAGAGTTTGTCGATGACAGCTTGAATATAACTCATGTACTATTTCATCAATTGGGATGCAGAAAACAAAAGAAAACTACTGTGTTATTGGGTTCTGAGGATAATGATATTATTGGTACATAAAAATTATAAGAAAGTGTGATATACTACAAGTTTTCAATAAAGTAAACGTTCTTTGAAAATGACTATGTTGAAAAGTTATTATCTTTGCCCTCCTAATGTATAAGATTGTTAAAGGGTGTAAAAACATTTATTACTATGTTCTTAACACTTATATTACACACGTTTTATTTCCATTTACTTAATTCGTAGTAGATATAAATTAGCATAGAGGGAAATGCTGATGTGACAATTCTACTCGTCTATAGCCCGGAGCTACTGACGTCGAACTAACAAAGGGCAGTTGGTTTGAGTGACCGTTATAGACAAAGTTTTCAATAATATTACTTTCGTCTTATTTATATTATTTATAAATTAACTTGTTTTATGTCAACGACAAAGTAAAGTTGAATATTCTAATAGTCTAATATTATTTAATAATCTATCCCCTGTAACTAAGGTATACAATTGCCTGTGTTGCCTTCAAGTAATTAAAACTCATTTAAAGAGATAGGGACGATATTTGGGCAATCATCGGGTAGCTTCCGATTCTTAGTTTTGACCAAGATCCTCAAGTATGAAACAAGTCCCTAACAAGGGTATATTTTTGAGTTAGACGGGATTATTTCAGAAACATAGTTGTAATAGAATATTATAATTTACTTCAATTAAATTAAGTGTTACATCAATATAACTATTTTATACATATATAAATTCTATATTACTCTAATATCTTAATTAATGGTTGATAGTATACTAATAGTTTGTGTAAAATTAAAATTATAATAAAAATATAATTTAAAATGAAAAAATATTAAATATTTTGCAACGCATTTAAAAATATTATTTAATAAAATAATCAGCTAATAATTTATTTATTTTCAACTCTTGGAAAAACATTTTCTTTGAACATGTTAATTATGTTACCTGGTGGCCAATAGTTTACTACAATATTATACCAACCATCTTTTGATTTAGATACGCCTACTCCCATTTTTTTTGAACTTCTCCATATTAGTTGAGTGAAATGAACTAAAATGAAATGAAATTTATTAAATTTTATTATTCTGTTATAATAAAATAACGTAAAATTATGCCTAACAAAATTCTCATTTTTATTATTATTTTAAGTCAAATCTTCAAGTAGATAATATTATTATACGCATCATATGTTTATACAGTTAAAAAATTGTATTAAATTTATAGGTTGTATTTTCATATTACTTACGAGATGATTGTTTCGACATTTCTTTTTCGTCACCGTTAAATTTATATCCTTCATCAATTAGAATTTCATTGTACCAACTTTTAACAGCTTCTAGACCGATGTTGATAGAATAATTAGAAAAAACCTTAAATAAATTCTCACCATATTTTCGAGGTTGTTCTCTGTGTTGAAAAGTATAAGAAGTCGTTAGATAATTGCTCCATTGTTGTGCATAATCGTTTATCTAACATTAATAACTTTCAAATAGCAATAGTCTTTGTCATTCATATAGCATATGGATATCTAACAGGTAATTTTTAAATTTATAATTTTGTCAGTTCAGAGTAAATGTATGTATTTATGATAACATATTTAATTTCTTGTATTATAAAAAATTTAATTAATTATTTATGAATTGTTTGATAACTATAAAAGTACTTTAAGTTTATGAGATATATATATAAAATATAAATATTCAAGGTAAATCTAGTAGACTAACATACTTCTTTATCGATTAATAAATCATCACACTGATGTGATTCACGATAATTGTTGGTAGCTAATAAAATTTCTTTTCGAATACCTTCTACCTCATCATCCGGTAAGTCTACTGTTGGTACTTCAGTTTTTAAAATAGATTTATTTTGGTTTAAATTATCAGAATTTTCATTTTCGCGTGAATATAACTTTACGACGGTTGTTGATATTTCTGTAGGACTTAGCGTTAAATCATCAAACTCATTTTTCTCCTTAGGTGTGATTAAATTTTTTTGGAATGTTTTATCAATTAAGGTCTGCTACAACCATAAAACAAAAACGTTTCATTAAATCTTTTATACGTGTAATACACGATATAAACTACAATTTAACTTATTGTACATACGTTGTTGCATTTAACGAAAATATTTTGCATCGTACAATTACCGTTTATACAACACAATTTCGAATTTTGTTGTTCAATTAGCTGTTGATTTTTTTTTATGAATTCATCATTAAAATTATATAAAGAGTTAAAAACATTAATTCCAATTAGTTTCAATCTATTTAATTGCTCTAGTACAGATAAATTACTAAAATTGTCTGAATCTAGAAAATAACAAAAAATATTTATTAATACATGTTTAAAATTTGTTGTATTGTTCTAGATAAACAAGCTAACATGGGCAATGTAGGCATTGTTATTAGTTGCTTTTTGTTACTGATTTTTTATTAATTACATAAGATAGCATGGGTATTCATTTATTAAGCGTGAACAAATTTTCACTAAAAATATAAATACTTGTTTCTGTTGATGATCTATTTTGAACCAATAGTATGGTTTTATTATTTATTTTCATAATTGATTCGTCAGATATTTTGGCTACGGTGGTTTCTTTGTTATTAATTTGATATTGCTTCTGGTATGCTATAACTACATTTTTTTATTAAATTAAGTTTTCTTGGAAATATTTTTAAATAGTACCTGGAGTAAATGTATTAGTTGTTATCATCTTTCCAACGAGTATTGAATAAGGACTACTATTAACTAATTGTTGGGTTATTCGTCCATTTTGCAAGGGTACATTACTAAAAATTTTATTTGATCGTGTAAGACTATGAAATAATTTATTAATTATAACATTTGTTTACTCACGCTGCTTTTGACGAATAATATAGTAATGAAAAAAATACACCGTATAAACTAAGCTGTTTCATTTTAAAACTTTTTATCACAGTAATTACCTATGAAAAAATGTTTTTGTTAAATACTCTTCCATTAATACAACTATAAACAGCATAATTGAATTATTCATCTTTATGATTTTAATATGACGTTTTTAGCAAAATTTAATTATCCATAATATAAACATCCTATTATTAATATAAAGAAAAAATAATTAACTATAATAAAACTCGAAAAAAGTACTCACATAAAACATAAAACACGTTTTTTTTTTACTTCAACTTCAAAAATAAACAATAAATTTGTGTTCTGAGTTTTTATACATAATTGTCGTACACTATTTAAAAAACTATATTAAACACGTTCTTTTATAGTTTATCGTTTGCCATAATAACATGCGCAAGTAAATTTTATGCACATATCTATGACTAGGTTCTTCGAACAACTTATCAATTTTCTTAGGATAGGTTTCAATGTATATTTCATTAGTACTACTAGCTCAACAATATAAATAGTTTTGTTTCTGTCAAGGTAATTGGCTTTAAACATAAGAAATATTAAATCATCTTTTATATTATTACTACAATTTTCAATTGTACCTATGGTAATATTTGAATATCGGAATCATAGATAATATAATAGCGGAGAGACCTTCATGATGAATATAAATTTATGTTCAAAATCATTTAGAAGGGTTTTAAAAAATTACATATGCATACTCTACAAGATAACACTTTGAAAATGTCACTGCTTGGAACATGAATGATGAAAAAAATCATTATAGCTCCCTTGGACTATCCCATATATTTCACTTTTTATAAGTAATTACACATATTTAATATTAGGCAAGCAATGACAAAATTTCAGTTTTTTAAGTGTAAAAACCATACTTTTTAAGATTAATAAAAAAAAACCCAGCACAGTGGGGTCGCGGCATAGTGGGGATGTTGCATAGTTGGGTCCAGTATAGATTTAATCTGACAGTGATTAAAATCACTATCATAAGAAACGCTTCGATGCAAATCAGTAGATAGTGTTTAATTCTAAGAAATTGGTGGATAATTACAAAAGCTACATTATCTGCTAGTTTCTTATTAATACCCTGATTAAGATAAAGTATGTCGAATGAAAAAGGGATTATTAAAAAATATTATTTCTCATAAAAAAATTGTGTTGATTCGTACACTTTTCAATGAGTTATAGCATTATAAAGTTAAAAATGTAACCAACCCAACCCAACATCAACTCCTATTTCCTTAATTATATCCAGATTAGTAATTATTTTAATTATATATTATATAATTTTTATAATTAATTATTTTCAAATTATTATTGATTTTTAATATATTAAAAGTAATCATTTTGAACCAACTTATTTTTGTCATTTAAAGTGAAAGTTTAAAAAAAAAAAACTATGAATTTATTACCATAACTTTTAACTCAACTTGCAAGTTTGAAATAGATATCATTAAATAGAAAAAAATGAAATTGGTAGATTATTTCAAAAACAACAATAACACTTATTCCCTTAATTTTACCCCGATTTATAACTATAATATATGAATACATAATAATTACAGTAATTAAATTGAGTATGAAAGTGGTATTCAATAATATAATATTGTAATTTTTACGGAGATATTATAAAAATAAAAAGGAGTTGTATATTCATATACTTTTAATGCGTATACAAATTTA